GGGTTTGAGGGGGGGGGGGGGTAAAAAAAATGGAGGTTGTAAACATTGCACAAGATACAATAAATGTACAGGTTATACCCAGAGGGAGTTACATACAGAGGGAGGATGGAGATGAAGGTGTTAATGTACATATATGCAGAATAAAACATGTGAAGGGGTTAATATGCAGCTTAGAGCAGAGATAGAGTGGAACTCAGGAGAAGATGGGGTGAAGGAATACAAATAGTATTATATTTACTAATTCTTGCTGCTCCTGCAACTTGTTTTCACCAGGAACTAATGAATGGATGATTCATTTATTCATTATTTCCTTTACTCTCCCCTGCCTCTGATGTAAAAGGAAGGGGAGGACATGCCAATGTAAACTTTGCCATGTGATCACTGTGATAACCAATCATATCGATCACAAGGCACAGAACTTGGTCCAAAGCCGATGCTCTTTGCTGTCTAATGTCAGGTGCACACACACACCAGCAGTAACGGGAGGATGTACAGGTACGTCCTCCTGGAACAATGGGGCTTCAGACACAGTACAGAACAGTGGTGTTAGGGAACCAAGAAAACAGACAGAAACTTTAAGTGCAGGTTAAAAATAAAAGGAGTTTATTGAAAATAACAATAAACAGAAATGGCAAAAAACAATGGAGAAAGTCCAGGAGGTCTTCGTTGCTAAGCCAGAGGTAAGATGCCAAAGTGGATAGTCAGCTGAACCAGGTCAGGGCAGGAAGAATGGAAACAATAGCCGGAGTAAGGAACCATGAGATCAGTCAGCCAGAACCAGGGTCATACACGGAGAACAGGAACGACAGCATATCACTTGGTAGATCTGGACACATGCAAGTATAAATAGTGAACTGGTGTTTCAATCATTATTCTGAGACAGGAAGTTTTCAGACGTTTGCCAGTAGTTGCAGAAAGATGATGTTTATAGGTTTGGTCATAAGAGGGTGCCAAAGGGGAAGAACAGTGTCAAAAACACTGCAACAGAAGACAGGCTGCAGCTCAACTGGACAAGGAAGGGTAAGAAACCCTGACAAGAGGCCAGTATGCAGGTGGTTAACCAGATTCTGGTCCTAACAAAGCAGAACTTCCACAGATGGAGATGTCATGTTGAATAATGTGTGCATTAGTGAGGCTAGTCCAGCATTTCTAGCCATACCATGTGTGTGAAAGGACACTCTATTTCCCCATCTATGCTAAGCGGGGATAATAGGGAAAATATGGTAACTGTATGGTAACTGTATTGGGTTTATAACTATAATGACAGTATTCAGAATATAATTTCTATTCATACGCCTTAACCCTTTTCTCAAAAAGAAAAACAAAACAGCATTTTGGCTTTGATCTTTTTCAAAAACATAATATGAAAGAACACATCCCAAGGATCCCTTTAGATGTACCTGCTTCTCCCTGCTGGCTTGGGTGCTGCAGACTTTAACTGTGCAGTCTGCTGACTGGTTACTTGGTGGCAGGAAACGTCTATAGGGATGCCAGGGATGTTTTTCTTTATATAATAGTCAGGAACAAAATGATAGAGGGCAGAGAAAGCTAATAGCTGTTAGAGGAATGACAGTGACAGTACAGATCAAGGAATGATGGAGGTCGTTCAGACAGGATGAAGGTAGACTCAAAATGGCTGCTGCAGCTACAAAGGGTTATATTGTGGAGATGACAGTTTACTGGAAATTGCGTGTAATCAATTTCAACACAGAAGAGGACTTGCTACAAGTCCTAGAAACAGATATGTATCCTCTTTTATTATGCCAATAGGTATACTTCAACCTAGAATGAGTAAGAGTCTGATCCCACAATAGGGGCTGATATATATATCTTCCACCCAACTATACGCTGGGTGAATGCCATTTGCACGCCATACACGCCACTATTTGGAGCCAAGGAGCATAGGCGGAAGATTCATAAATCAGCCCCTTGGTCTTTCCTTCTTACCACAATGCCAGCAAGGAGATATCTTACCACTGGTGGGTGTGAAAGGGTGAGGGCTGGCTGGAAATGGAGCTACATCTATTACTGACCTTGAAGGAATATATTCCTATGGACAATACAGGGGCATGATGCTGTTTAATATTGCCCTGTATATGATTCCTGAGAATGGCCATGGTTGTGCATTGGGTGAGATCTCTTGTAAGCAGTGAAAATAACATGGGGAATCAGACACTACCCAGCTCCACTGGATAAATATAATATGGCTAAAGTGTATTTTATAAGGGAACATTTTACACTTTACTCATGTAAGGCAAAGAAACAAGTTCACTTAAATCCTTATCCACCCACCACGTATATAATCACCTTCCATTTGTTCCCCTGCTAATCCTTTCAAAGATACAGCCTGGAATACATATGCATATGGAAGGGCTTTCAACAGTACAACAGCAAAAAGTCGCCTCCTGGGGAACCTGCACCCAATTTTATCTTTTGCTACATGTGCTCCAAGATGGAGACTCTCATAGGTTAGAGTTAGGACCGCAATACACAGAGGTGCCTTGGCGCGGCAGTGCGGCTTTCACATATTCTGCAGAAGACGTGTATCTAAAACCTTTGTTTTTAACCTTAGTGGTTACACAGGTTTTTTTTTCCATGTTGGCTGGTGACTGCAGGGAAACTTTTTGCAGTTGCACTGAACACGGGGTCGCGACCCACTTTTGGGTGACAACAACCCACCAGTTGAGAACCATGGGCTTAAAGCAACAGATGATCAGATCCTCAGGTGGTGGTTTCTCTTCAATGTAGTGCAGAAAGGTGGTGTCTGGAGAAGTGAATATCTTTAGGTGAACCTGTTACTTTGCCCTGCATAAGAAAAGCATGCGTTCACTTTGAGCACAAGACAAGAACAACTTAAAATAAGGAAATGTATCATTTGTAATATTTATAAGCTGCAGAAAACCTGGACAATTAAAACTGAGGCATATGATAAAGGATGCAGCTTACCATCAATAGAAACCATATCTATCTATCTATCTATCTATCTATCTATCTATCTATCTATCTATCTATCTATCTATTTTTATTGATTATCTGTCTATTTATCTATCTTGATCTACATGTATACATTGTGTAGGCAGCATTCTGCTTGTCTTGTCAGAGTCATTCTCAGCACTTTCTTTCTCCCCTTTCCATCTTTGTGTAGGAAGTTCTTTTTCTGCACACTAATAAAGAAAGTCCAAGCGCCGTGCGGTACTTTATGCAACCCCGTACTTCCTACACATGAATCTGCTGAGGGCATATTTACTTTGAGATTTCCTTTCATATAAAGGCACGGATGTATAGGTTTTTCTGTCTTACACCACAAACCAGAAAGTCTATTGGGAGGCTTGGGGAGTAATCATATTTACACTCCTCTGGTCAGGGGCTGCTGCATGTCTCAGTGGAGTGACTCATGGCCCTCATACTATTTAAGGAGGCTTGTTTGTAGCAGATAGACACAGAAGATTCCCAGCAGAAGAAGCCAGACATGACCCCTCCAGCGCTAAGAGTTGTAGTTCTGCTGGCCAGCTTGGGCTTTTGTGTCTCAGTGCCCATTCCACAAGAAGACAGTGCAGAGTTCACAGATAATGACCTTCGCTTGGCACAGGTATGTCACGGCTTGCAACATGAAATATGTATACGTTAGATGTCACTGGATCTTTTGAAATACTTTTTTTTACTTAATCTATATCCCTATCCAACCCAGTTGTGAACCTTAGTATAAATGATAACTCCATTATCATTTAGGATGCCACAGGTTTTCATGTTATAGCTCACAGGTAAGGATGCCACAGGTTTTCATGGTATAGCTCACAGGTAAGGATGCCACAGGTTTTCATGTTATAGCTCACAGGTAAGGATGCCACAGGTTTGCGTGTTATAGCTCACAGGTAAGTATGCCACAGGTTTTCATGGTATGGCTCACAGGTAAGGTTGCCACAGGTTTTCATGGTATAGCTCACAGGTAAGGATGCCACAGGTTTTCATGGTATAGCTCACAGGTAAGGATGCCACAGGTTTTCATGTTATAGCTCACAGGTAAGGATGCCACAGGTTTCCATGTTATAGCTCACAGGTAAGGATGCCACAGGTTTTCATGGTTTAGCTCACATTTGTCTTTTATTATTTTTTATTATAAATGTATACAGGGATAAACAAATGTGCGCTTTTCTCAGTAGTGCAGCATCTTGATTATGCTTTAATAGTCTCAGGGTAAACTGACAATAAACTTTCATTTTTTTTTTTCCGTTCATCTCTATGGGTTAAATGAGAAAACATGCTTTGTTGCCCCAACCACAATAAAAAAAAATTGGTGGGTGGAAGCTCCCCTGCCGGGCTGTTGTATTCTGACCACCATCTCCTTTGAAAAAAGTCAATTGAAACATCAACTTTTGTCGAACGGTGTGGTGCTGGCAGGGCCACCCACAGCTTGAATTTTGGCTAAGACAAGACTTGCCCGAAATTGGCAAAACTCAAGCTCATTCCTAGTTTTCAGACAATACAAACATTTCCACAACTTCCTTTCCATAACAGATTTCATGTTAAAATATATACAGTAATGCCTCGGTTCACAAACGCTTCTGTTCGCAAATAATTCGGTTCGCAAACAGGAAGTTCGGCAAAATTTTCTTCCGTTTGCAAACTCCACATCGAATGACAAACACGACCACGGCCATCTTCCCAGCTCTGACACGTAATTGAGATCGCGGTCGCAGACAGACCTGTGTACATTTGCTGTGAAGCTTTTTTTGTGTGCTTTTTAGCACATACAGTACTGTACAGTATTTTTCAATCCAGCATGGCTACAAAAAGTTTAGTGTTTACTCTCTTCATACTGTACTGTATTTTGTTTCATATTTTTGTGGTTAAAAAAAAGAAAAATTACATATGGTTCAGAATGGATTAACCTTATTTGCATTGTACCTTATGGAAAATTTGATTCCGTTCGCGACCAAAATCGCAGAACGAATTAAGTTTGTGGTACCACTGTACCTTTGGATACAGGCGATAAAAGTTTGAACCCCTATTTCTTTTGTGTGTTTGTGTCCCACTGGGGAGATTTTCCATCGCTTTCTGTCCTGAAGAAACAACAAGAAATGAGAGGGAATCTCCTTAAAGTGTCTGGAATTCCCATCTTTGACAATTGTTTCCCCAACATTTGAATAATTTACCTTTACCCCATACTGTGGTGAAAATTTGTGAGAATCTCCCCAACAGGGACACAGACAATAAAAAGTGGCAGAAAGTCTAACCATTCCCAACCCCAAGTTTTGCCTTCACATACACTTTTATCAAATGGAGTTACAATAAGATATGAATCAAATTACACAGTAGGCATCTCTTACTGTGCTGTCTTTTGGGCAGTATGAGATATTTTCAATCGAATTACTGGTCTGTGAGAAATCGCACACCAGTAACTAGCAGATTTAAGTGTTTTTCTCAGTTCTCAGTAAGCAGGGGTAGAGGGGGCAAGTTAATATAAAAATGTGAGGCGGAGCATTTATTGTCTAACTTTTCGGACATTTCAGAGGAAATTGTATAGAAAACCTTGTTATTACATAAATTGTCCTAAGTATTTAAAGAGTAACTCTACTATGCTTCCCCTTTTGTAGAAATATCTCAGCACTTTGTATAGTTCTGCTGCTAACCCAGCTGGAATTCTGAGACGTAGCGGTGGAAACAATGTCCAAGCCCAGCTGAAAGAAATGCAAGCTTTCTTTGGCCTGGAAGTGACAGGAAAACTGGATGAGGAGACCTTGGACATTATGAAACAGCCAAGATGTGGAGTGCCTGATATCGGCGAATACAACTTCTTCCCACGGAAGCTTAAATGGCCCAGAATGAATCTCACATACAGGTATTTATAGTAGTAATGATTTATATACAGGGCATCGTCTCTGTCTGAGTTGTGCATGTGGACAGTGTATCAGTCTACTTTTTAACACTCAACTCTGCATTTGATGTATGTTTGAGGATAGGCATACATTTCTGTCAATGTATATCTTACCCTACCTTCTTGAAACTTAGGAGCCCCCATGTATTAACCATTTTAAATGAAGTCACATGGATCTCAGCCGTCCCTAATTTGGAACTAAATTCCCCTGTCCCTCACTCCCGTGATGGACTACAATCCCCTGTTTATCTAGCTAATTTGTATTAAAGTTATAATCCATAACGGGAGCGAGCTTGGAGCTGTGGCTACTTTACAACACACACAGGGACCATGGGGAACAAAAGTAGCCACCCCCCAGAAGGAAGGACAGTGTCATTACAATTCAGAGATGATTTGAGGATCTACAGCCGAGTGATACACATATAAGATATATTTTTATTAATAGTTAAGGTACTTGGATGTATTTATAAGATTGGACTCCTGAGTTTAGTGTCACTTTAAGTTGTGCATTATTAATATTTATTGCCTGGTACTAAAGTACTTTTATTTTGTGTTGACAGAATCGTTAACTACACCCCCGATTTACCCAATGCAGATGTGGACAGAGCTATCAAAAAAGCACTAAAAGTATGGAGTGATGTCACCCCATTAAATTTCACTAGACTGCGCTCTGGCACCGCAGACATCATGGTAGCCTTTGGAAAGAAAGGTAGGGCAAATCTAAGCAAAATGTCTATATACCTCTAACTGAGAAATGCAACAGGAAAAAGATGAAAGAGTGAAATGAGGCTTAGAGGCTGTGCTCCTTTTTTTACTAAGGCGTCCAGCTAATGCCATTTTAAAAGACTCTTAGGGCTCCATTTATAATGAATGAACTATCCATCTTCCGCTATATGCTGCAATCTTTGTCCACACCTTGACCTGCATTTTAAAGCTCATTTGTAAAATGCAGGCTATGTTGTGGAGACTGCAGTGTCCTATGGAGTTCTCTTTGTTTAATGCAGCATAGAGAACTTCTTGATTCGAGGAGAGTCAGTCACATGACTTTGACAGGCCACGTGATTGGATTGTCCTCCAGGATTTTTTCTCTTCCATGCTTTTTATTAGTGCTCCACTGGCTTTGAGGATGCTAAGCACATTTGTAAAAACATTGCTGTGCTTTATAAATGTGTTATTTTTTTTTTTTTTTTTAAAGAGTGGTATGGCAGTGGCAAGGCTATACTGCTGCTTTCTAATGGTGGCCCTTAATATCTGCTGAGATCAGGTGGCATGGTCCTTATAAGGTTTGTGGAAAATTTGTGGTTAAGTTGAAGTTGAATGGATGGTTATAGAATTTCTCCAGTTGGTTCTGAAGATGGGTCATAAATGCCTTGCCCCTTCTTACGGAGTGGAGCACTCATGCTTGGCTATTGTAATATATTACATATTGTTCCACGTGACTTGAGCTACACAATCTACTTCAATACATTATATAGATTTGAACGGTAATGCCTGAATTAACATACTTTTAACAATCTTTTCTCTAGAACATGGAGATTACTATCCTTTTGATGGCCCCAATGGTTTGTTGGCTCATGCTTTCCCTCCTGGTGAAAAAATTGGAGGGGACACCCATTTTGATGATGATGAACATTTCACAAATGACTATAAAGGTAAATGTTGTGAGTGGGCCCCTGACATTAGACATGGTAAGAGTCTCTTCATGTGTCTGTCTGTTTGGTAGCCTTGTGTACCCTCTGCACACTGCTATACACCCTTACATGTTACTACCAAAGTTTTGCATGAAAAAAAAACATGGATTCCTGGTTTACATATGTGGAATACATGTTCAAGATGGCCTGCATCTCCAGCAGTAGGCAAGTAAACATTGCAGCACAGATCTCTTTCACATAATTTTGGACTAGGATCCATACTGAAGGTGAATAGTCCTATAATGATGATAGGGTCAGAAAGGAGATCTCTAGAACCACAAAGTCCTTCAGTTTGTTATTTGGCTTTGCATACATGTGGCTATTTGGCAGATCCTGGCTTTGTAAAAGGGTACATACTTTTTTTTTAAATTAACACTGTTCTAGATAGCACATTGATCAAGAAATAAATGGCTTGCAGTAGATAATTGTAAATTATTATTATTATCTTGCAGGATACAATCTGTTTATTGTGGCAGCTCACGAATTTGGCCATGCCCTGGGTCTGGACCACTCCAGGGATCCAGGATCACTTATGTATCCAGTTTATACATATTCTGAGACCAGTAGCTTTGTCCTTCCTGAGGATGATGTACAAGGGATCCAGGAGCTGTATGGTGAGTAGAGCTTTTTACGGCATTGAACTGAATTAAGGATGACATTTACATTAGTACTATATGTAAAATGGGAACATAACATGATAGGTTTAGAACTGCACTTCTTTCTGTAAAGGACCCCTACCATGATTTTACTTGCCATGATCCATCTGGAGAAATTTGACTTGTCGGCTTCCTGTTTGGTCACTCCTTCTCCTTAGCACAATTATAGCGGAATAAGTCTCAGAAGATCACCTCCTTTAATTTAGTATAAGGTATCACTGATATAGTGGAGGAGCTGGACACATTCTAAGGAATGTAGGAAATGCTTTCACTGGCTTTAAGTAATGTTAACAGCTTATCCATTTAAAATTATATTCCTCTTTAAAGAGAATCTGCCATATGAAAAAAAGATACAGTATAACGAATACTAGGGCCTAAAAGCATTTACCTTTAAGTGTGTCCTAACTTTCTTTGCCATAGTCTGGGATCCCTGAACTGTCACTGAACACTTGACTATAAATCCAGTTTGGTGCCCCACAATGCAATATGGACGCCTTTTTTAACCTTGAAAAGCCTGCATTGTATTGAAGGGTGCTAGGTTGAAAGGGTGCTAAATAGTGATGAGCCGAACACCCCCGTGTTCGGTTCTAACTCGAACTTTCGAACATGGAAAAAGTTCTAACTCGAACTTAGAACTCAATGCAAGTCTATGGGGGTAGAACTCAGAAATTTAAATGTCCCCATTTTGAAGCCTTATATGCAATTTATTGGCCATAAAAAGTGTATGGGGATCCGGGTACTGCCCTGGGGGACATGTATCAATGAAAAAAACACTTTTAAAAAATACAATTTTTAAAGGAGCAGTGATTTAACATCACTTAAAATGAAACATTAAAAATTAAAAATTCCTTTAATCTATCTATCTGCTGACTGTAACTAACTATACTAGAACCCTCTCTATCTCCTACAGCACACTACATGGGGCCGCGGTGTCAGCAGCCTTATATAGTGTGCTGCAGGGACTTAGCTGTGAGACATGATTGGGCAGAGTCATCGTGACTCTGCCCAATCATGGCTCTACATTTGTACTGAGCCCTGATTGGCACAGTCTTGCACCTGACCTGCGGTCAGGTGCAGGACTGTAGCCAGTTACCGTTTTCGGACGGCGCAGTGCATTGTGGGATGTGCCGGGGGTCGAACAGACTGCGGACATCCCATAATGTTCGGCGTTCGGCGAACGCTAGAACATGCAATGTTCGAGTCGAACCTATGGTCGACTCGAACATGCAGCCCATCCTTAGTGCTAAAGCTCAGAGGTAGAAAGTCACAGCCTGCTGAATGGAGTCAGATTGTGGGAAAGACAAATAGGCGGTTCACTTTGCATGGGAATTTGCACTTTACAGGGAACATTTCCCCTTAGTTTAGTGATTAAGGTGAAGCTTTGCCGATTTCTATCACCCAATCATGTGAAAGCAATAATACATTTTTTTAAATGAATTTCCTTGCACAGGATTGGGTATCCTTTGCAAAGGGTAGGTTCGCCACATTCACCAAGCTATGGGAAACTTCCCCTGAAATGTGCAAATTCCCTTGCAAAATGAGTAGCCTATTTGCCTTTAGTAAATCATCCCCTTGGTGTTTACAGATACATGTAGGCAAAATCTTAGGCTCTAGTATTAGTCAGACATTTCATTTTGTATAACAGGTTCACATGAAGTTGTATTAAGCCATGTCTTTAAAATATCTCTATTTTTTCTGGGTAAAGTCACATTTTCAGAGCCTCATTTGGCAAGACCAGTGGTTCCCAAACTGTGGGCTGTGGGCCTTATGTGGCCCTTTGTTTTCTTTCATTTGCTTTGATGCACTCGTCCTTCCACTGACACAAATGATGGAGAATAATTCCACCCACTGACTCTAACAATGGGGTATAATTCCTCCCACTAGCACCAATAATGGGGCACTCCCACTTACCACATGTACTTTGTAATTTCTTTTACTCCCACTGACCACCGAGCCAGAGGTATTGTTTACTCTCACTGTCCACTGATGCTGGGGCATGTAAAACTCCAACTGGCCACAGTCTGATGGACAGTAAACTAGCCCCTTGTTTAAAAAGTTTGAGGATCCTGGGCTAGACTATAAATTGGTGAGTTTGGTGGCTGTAGTTTGGATGATCATTTTGGGGGTTAAACAGCCTTAACATTGTACACTGTTATAATATAATATGCAGTAAGAATAGATTTGTTGGCCCTGCTTTAGTTATACCATTAAAAAGTGATTTCTGATTAGTTACAATGGCACTGCTCTTTTTATATGTATGAAATAATTCCAGTAAATCAATAGAGTTCTGACATTATCTGTAGGACCTGGAAACAAAGACCCCAACCCCAAACATCCAAAAACTCCTGAGAAGTGTGACCCAGAGCTGGAGATCGATGCTGTGACTGAACTCAGAGGGGAAAGGTTTATCTTTAAAGACAGGTTGGTCTGGCCTATGAGATGTCTTGTCAACCCTGTCTTCATACTCTAATGTGTGTGGTGAGACTTTAATGGGATCAGAATGGGGGAAATTGAACAAGAAGCATTGCAAGCCTGGGTTTTATAAGGCAAAGGGCATTTCATAGAATGATAATACTGGCCGCCATAGAAAATAGGTTAGCAGGACATCCAAGTGTAGAAGATTCCATGGAATTCAATTTGAGCCATTTCTTAGGCAACTTGTAGGACAAGGCAGGTTACATGTAAAAGTCTTGACATTTGACCAGTCTGAACAAAGTGCCTGCTATATTAATTGGTCCAATACACAGCATACATGATTAGAGTAAAGTAAACCAATACATATTCACATGATCTAAACAATATGAAATAATAAAGAGCATTTTAAAAAGTGTATATATCTTAAGAAATCCTTTTCCTTGCCTATATTTACAAAAACATTTGCAGAATACAAACTAGCTTAAACATCTTATTGGCAACTCACTGGTACATAATACGGCTGATTTACTAAAGCAGTTGAGTGTAGATTCTCAACTCCTTTAGTAAACAAGCATGTCCTTAGGTTTCCAATTATTTCCCTACTTGGTGCTGCCATCTTGCCTCTCACACAAGGTAAAGGCTGTCACTCGTAGCCTGCGTATCAAAAACACCTCTGCCTTTCCTGTGACAATCACATGAATACGTCATAGACTTAGGAGGAGTGGTTAGAAATGAAAATGAGGGCTTAGCTGTTGACTTTTGAAGAAAAAAAAAAGTAAAAATCTGCAAATCAGAAATCACTGTTTAGTCTTCTTGGGTCGCTAATTTTGGAGAAACGGAAGAGTGCATATGAAACAGCTGATGGAGGGGGGTTATAACTGTACCACTGTGTTAACATGTTAGGGGAATGGAAAATTCACTCTAAATACCATATAAATGCAATATTATGTAATCATTACTGTTATGCTGTGTAAATATATAACATTTACTGAAGGGATGGTAATATATATTTTCTGTGCAGATTCTTTTGGAGGGTTCACCCACAGATGACAGATGCAGAGATGAGCATGATTAAATCTTTCTGGCCTGAACTTCCCAGTAGAATTGATGCAGCATATGAATACTCACTGAAGGATCGTGTGTATATTTTCAGAGGTGGGATTCTGTTCTTCTAATATCACCTGCAAGAGGATAGCAAATATGGGTCAGAGATTAGAATGGTACCATAGATAGTGCAGGGGGTGTAACAGCCCTTGCGTCCTTCAGTTCAGGCGTCCCAACCACAACTGCTATTTCCTGTTGCTTACTAGCTGTGAGCTCCAATGACATTTAATTAACAGTCTCAAGTGGTGACATTTTTGTGCAGGAGCTGTGGCTTCACCCACTTCCACCTAGCAACAGCAAAATTGTCTATTGCAGTTATTGAGAATCCACCAATGGAACATGACACCTTTATTTAACATAGTAGTGGTTGCAGGAGTTGTGCAGATCTGGGAGTTCTGGTGGGGGATATCTTACCACTAGACTCCTTCAAAAAAGGAGTTTGACTAATAAAGGTAAAGGGATAGATATAGGATATAAGGACATATATGTTGTATATAGTTTCCATGTACTGCTTTACTGGACATGTATATGTAACATTGAGTACCTCTCACCCTCTCTGTGGCATTGCTCCAGTGGATAATCAAGATTGGAGACAATACTCCTGTGGTCAGGGACACATGACTTTAGACCAAAACACCAATCACGGTTCTGTCTGTAGTCCTTACCGGTATTTGGTGATGGTTGTAACCTGTGTGTAGAGTAGAGTGTATTGGGTGGATCCCCAAGGCAAGTTGGATAGGCGGGCATGTGATTGATGACAGTACCTGGAATAATTAACCTGGTTAACCAGGCTGTGTATATATGGATATAAAAAGATTAGTTACTCAGAATTATGTACTATTATGCATTGTTCACCATTATACAGTAACATGGTAGGAAAAAGGGTTATGTGTTAGCTAAATAAAAAAATAAAAATCAAAGTTTTGCTTAGAAACTAATTTTTCTTTCTAATTTTTCCAGGAAAAAAGGTGTGGGCTTTAAACGGTTATGACATAGTAGATGGTTATCCCAAAAAACTGCATGAACTTGGACTGCCAAAGACTCTGAAGTCTATAGACGCTGCTGTTCATAATGATGCCAGTGGTAAAACTCTGTTCTTTACAGAGGACAAATATTGGAGGTAGGAAAGCTATTTCTTTTCCTTTTACACTCTTCATATTGCTGTTTGTATTTGCTGTGTGGACTAAAGATGAACAGACGCAGGGGAAATTTATGAACAGTTTTAAGAATATAAAATCAAGAAAAAAAGCTACACGGCTATCAGCAATCTACTGAAATGGGACAGATTTTCCAGTGGTTTTGGTAAATATTTATCTGTTGACTTTGATCTTCCATAGCTTTTGTCAAACTAATTAATTGTTTAATGACTATAGCAAGTTAAATATCTTTGTCCTTTGTACAGAAGGTAGTCTGGAAATAACAAACTGAACAAACTATAACTGAACACGTAAATCAATCACAACATGAACTGTGATTATTGCTTAGAGTCCTTGCAGTCTTACTGTGATATTAAATCCCTTATAGAATTTGACCCATAAAAAAGTGTGATTTGGGATAAAAGCTACTCCAGATCCATTGCAGATGACTTCATGGGAATTGGAGAGAAAGTTGAAGGCCACCCAAGTCATTAACTCTGAGCAAAGAGGAAAGTAAATCGTGTAAATCATGAGTACATGCACCTTTCTTTACCATCTTTACCTCCAGTCCGTTCATGAAAGCCCTAGAGCTACACCTTGCATGTTAATTGCGTATGCTCCATACAAGTCTTTTGAGAAATATCAAATGTCCAGCAAGCTGAGAGATCAAGTTGTAGGGTGCATGCCTTGGAACCCATTACAGCTTCAACTCTCAGAGACAAGACTGGGTATATGAGGCATAAAGGTTGATGTAACGCTATATTGTACATCCTTGTTACTGTTTCTGTGATCAATGCATTTGTTTAGAGCTGATTGTTAGTCAGGATGCAATGCCAGGTTTTATCTGTAGGTGGAAAAAAGTCTAAAATACAGGCTCTCTTTGATTCTGTGGTAGAGGAATAATGATACTACACAAAGTGGTCAGGAAAAAAAAAGAGAAAAAAGGAGAAAAAGGGGCTTTAATGGTATCAGTGAACACCACTAATGATTACTACATAGATACATAAAAACAAGTTCCTTTATTGATACATAGTCATAAAAACATCTACATGAGGGTAAAAGGCATAAAGGAATACCCTTCCTCATGCAAATGCCATCCAGAGCTGACTACCCTTACATAAACTTTGATACTGGCGATACTCCATGATTCTCCAAAGAATATTAAAACGTTCATACAAAAAGTGGATAACTTAACGCCAAAACTATCACATGGAGTGGCAATTCCTCAACGCAGTTCGCTCCCAAAGTAGGGGCTTCCTCTGGAGGGAAGGATGCTCTGTTCATATGGCCATAAGTATAAAGGAAGGATGCAATGGCATTAAAAAGACCAGAAAACACATGCGGCAGCAACAGCAACTAATTGATTTCCAAGGAACTGGCCCAGAACAAAGACCTATAGTTGTCTGGAACAAGTTCACAGTGCTGTGGTCAGGGACCAAATCTTTATTTATCTGGAAAATCTCTTTAATGAAAAGAAAATAAGTATTAAACACACTCCTAGTAGTACACTAATGTTTTCTTCTGAAATTACAATTTATATTCTGTCTTTTTTGTGTTATTTAGTTATGATGAAGAAAGTATGACTTGGGATAAAGGTTACCCTAGATCCATTGCAGATGACTTCATTGGAATTGGAGAGAAAGTTGATGCAGCATATAGGAGAAATGGTAAATAGTGGGCTGACAATGACATCTGTTTTATTTATTTATTATTAATTTTTTTCATCCATTCATTTGTGTTCAATTTGTACTTTTTGTAACTTATACAAAAACCTGTGAATCTTTGAGGTTAATATGCGAAAAAGAGACTCATAATTTCTTCTTATTTTTCCTAACACAATACTATCCCTTTATGTACAATATGATATTGTACAGAGGGACAGCCAAAACAACAAGTTGCTGCAGATGCACATGGGGCCTCTGTATACTGGGAAATTAAAAGAGAACTATGGTAAGTGTTTTTTCCCATAGTTCTCTTAAGGGTCACAGGAGGATATATACTAGCATCCTACCGTGACCCAAAGCTCAGTATCTACAGCATGCAATGTACTGAGACCGCCGCAGCCTGGACGGATCCCGATATTACTGTCGAGATCCACCCAGCTGCGTGAATGACAGCTGGCTCTGCCTATATAGAGGCAGAGCTAGCTGTACCCGCCCCCTCCCCATCTGTTCCTCCAGTCAGCACTGGAGGATCGGAGCGGTGAGGGGGGAATCCCTGTAGGGAGCTGTGACTGAGAGTCACGGCTCTTTGCAGGGAGATGATCGAGAAGTGAGCGAGCAACGGTATGTGTTCGCTCACTTCCCGATCTATTGAGGTGACGTGTGACAGTTTCAATGATTTTCACTCACCTCATAGTTCTCCTTTAAGTGCAACCACAAACATTCTTGAGATACCTCTGTTGGATAAATGTTTACAAGATGTCAAAGAGGCCTCAGACTGCAGAAAGTATGTTCAACTGACAGAGTTTCCCCTGTCCCCTTTGAAGTCTCTCAGCTAGTAAACCCCAGCCTGGCTAATATATGCATGATATAGCCAAAGGTTTGTGAACACCTGACCATCACACCAATTATATGGTCAAATTTATTTAGACAGCTCTTCATATTATTGAATTGAGGTATTATTATTGAAGAGAACTGTTAATGGTATACAGTTGTGCTCCTCCAACCTTGTGGCAACACTTTGAGGACTGTGCTCAAAGCCAACTCCATAAATACATGCTTTGATGAGTTTGGTGTGGAGGAACTTGGGAGGCTGGTACAGAACCCTGACCTCAAACAAATAAATTACCTTTGGATGAACTGCAATGCTGATTGTTATCCAGAACTTTCCGTCCAACATCGGAACCTGCCCTCACAAATCCTCTTTTGACTAAATAGACACAAATTCCCACAGACACACTGAATAATCTTGTGGAAAGCCTTTCCGGGAGAGTGGATACTACTAAAACAGCAAGGGGGGGGGGGGACGACAACTCCATAATAAAGTCCATGGTTTTGAAACGTGATGTTCAACAAGCTCATAAAAGGTGTGATGGTCAGGTGTCAGATGGCTGATATTCTGGTGGTTGAATTGTTCCTGTGTGGTAGGATTTTTTTGGCCAATCCTGTATGTAGCATTTTGAATGGAAAAATATTTTTTGTCGTATCCTAAAAACCGGACTCCATTTTATGGTAGTACCTTAAGCAATTTTCTGTTTTGGAAAGTTATTTGTAGGAATGATTTCTGATGATTTTAAAATTCTATTCTAGGTTACATTTACTTTTTCAATGGACCCCTTCAGTATGAATACAGCATCTGGAGCAAAAAGGTCACTCGTGTAATGAAGACCAACTCTATCCTGTGGTGTTAGTCCTATGAATGAAATAGTTCCTTAAAGCAGACTGCTGAGCGGTTCTTGACCACATCTAGTGTATCTCACACTGTATATGACATGGCGCTGGATAGCTGAACAGTACAGTGATATTTTTTGCAGGTTTCAGGGTTTTGATTTACAAGAGTAAATCAAAATACAGCATAACATTCCCTTGGCTTGTGTTTCCCACTTATTGTGGCGATAACCGTTTTATGAACTTAATATTTATACGACTACTGCCTAACTATTCCCTAAGAACTGGAGGCATCATTGAGACATTTCGCTATCATTACGACCTCCAACAATGGAGGTGTTGTCCTTAGCATGCAATCAGATTGCAGCTTTTAATAGTTTAAAGTGCTTGTAAGGCAAAACACTGTCAGGGTTATTCACAGAAGGGTTAAGAGTTAGGAAAAGTGAACAATCTAGGACAACATAGCTGAACAGGAAAAATTCTCCAATTCATTTCACTTTCCAGCTCAGCTATGTTGTCCTAAATTGTTCCCTTCTCCTGCCTTCTCCAAACTCTTCACCCTTTTGTGAATAACCCTGTTTGCTTTAGTTTTGGATAGTTTAACATAGACCCTCTGTCAGGTTTCTTTTTACTGTTTTTTGTCTTCACTCGATAGATTCACCTTCTAAATTTGCCCTTGTCACCACTGTCACCGAGACAGAAAGTGAGGGGAAATCCAAAATTTTAGAGTTGGCACTATGGCACTAGAGCAAGGTGAGGGGGACAATGGGGACACATGTTGAGGTGAAAACTGTCTTAGATATAAATTCCATTCAGTTTAAGGAGCTTTACTTCTTTTTTTTGTTGCATCTTCAGGACAGGAAATGACAGGAAATCTTCCTAACGAAAATAGACCGGATAAGAGTTTTAACTTTTCCCTACTCTATCCAAAACTGAAATATAAAAGGTTTTACCATTATGTGCACTTTAATGCAGGATAGAAAATATGAGGGCTAGTAGTTTGATTGACTGCTGTTACTTCTTGACAGTTTTTTTTAAATGACTCCTACTATCGCCTAAATGCATTTCCAATAAAAGCTGTACCTATAAAAAAAAAAAGGAAATACCACTCCTAGGTCAGTCTACACAACACCATGGTGGAAGAAGAATCCTCTCTATTGAAGTCTTTTTTGAACCTTAAATTAACATGAGTGTTGATCTCCAGCCCCCCAGTGCCCTGTGTTTGCTCCTGCCTGTCACTATGTCACCACAGGACACAGTAATGATGTATCAGCCAGCCGGAGGAACCTCTTGGTGCAGTGGGGGATACAAGTTGACAGCTGTCCGTTTTAGAAGATTGTTTAATGTGACATTTGCTAGTGCCGGCAGTTGGAGCGTTATACATTTACAATCATTTTAACAGGTACAGCTTTTAATGGCAACTTTACTTACCGCGACAGAGTAGCTTTGAACATAAGGTCTAAAAATGATGTAGTTAGCTTACAGGTCAAACATTTGTGGATATTAATCCAAGCCAAAAAATTGCTTCTGTCTCTCTGTATTACTGGTACACTTTAAATCTCCCAGTACCTGCAATATACGGAGCAGATTGTGATTGTGGGAATGCTGAATTGTCAGATTATGTTTTTGTGCTACTGTTTTATTATAGGATATTTTTTTAGATATTTATTGTTTTACATTTTGAGATATTAAAGGAGAACTATGGGGTAAGTGTTTTTCCCCATAGTTCTCTTAAGTGTCACAGGAGGACATATACTAGCGTCCTCCTGTGACCCAAAGCTGAATATATTGCGAGATACAGCTCGCGGTATACTGAGACCGTCGCAGCTGGGACGGATCCGACAATGCTGTCGAGATCCACCCAGCTGCGTGATTGACAGCTGGTTCTGCCTATCTAGAGGCAGAGCCAGCTGTACCCGCCCCCTCCCCCACCCGTTCCTCCAGTCAGCGCTGGAGGATCGGAGAGGGGGAATCCCTGTGGGGAGCTGTGACTAACAGTAACTGCTCTCTGCAGGGAGATGATCGAGAAGTGAGTGACGGTATGCATTCGCTCACTTCCCGATCTATTGAGCCGACATGTGACATTGTCACACGTTGGCTCGAACTATGAGGATGAGTGATTTTCACTCGCCTCGTAGTTCTCCTTTAAGTTTATTTCCATGTTTGTTTCATTTTAAGACGCTTTGCAATATCAGTAAGTGTGCTCATCCTGAAGGATGCTAAACCTTAAAAGAGGAGGCTTTTAACAAGAGATGAACAGGTCTTTGTCCTTGTCTGCAAATATCCTCATTCATCCAGGTCATGGTATCTCTGTAAAAAATAAAATCAAGGCAACTGGACTTGCTGTATTTTTCTTAAAGACGTTTCCGCAGGTCATCCGACCAGCTTTCTCAATTCAGCTTCTGAATTGAGAAAGCTAGTCGGATGACCAGCGAAACATCTTTAAGAAAAATACAGCAAGTCCAGTCGCCTTGATTTATTTTTTACAGACATTGTGTCCTTATTTAGTAGACAAATCAAGCAATTCCTGGTCCAGATATGTGTTGATTGGTTTGTTAGTCTCTACTATTAACTCTAAATGCTGTTTTTTTTAATTTAAAGATAAGATAGGAGGATCAGTGTCTTAAATTAAAGGGGTTGTCCACTTGAAATAATTATTTATAGTAAACTGATAAGAGAAGCCTGCACAGAAAATGATAGCACCCTCTTACATGGTCATGGGGAGCTGCTCTGACTGGTGCTTGAAACTGGTCCTGAACTTAAGCTGGCTGTCAAGGTCTCTGCTGCTTGACAATGATCCTCAAGATGACCTACCTGTTGAATCATAGGCATCCGAGGCCTGGCTAACTGCAAATGCTCTTGTGCAGACCCAGAAAAACTGGTGAATGCTGCCTTGTTCAATAGGCTGATATATATTGTGGGCAGGTAAACTGTTGGCCTGTGCAGATGTCCTAGAGGTGAAATAAAATGTTAATTGTTTGTATTTACAGATTTCAGTAGTTTCAGTAGCTCCCTTCTTTATATCCACTATTCTTTAGGTAGCCTACCATTGTTGTTGTTGTATATTAGAGTAGAACCATCCCTAGAAATAATCTTTACCTATTCACATTGATACAACTTTGTCTGTAGAGTGTATGATGTATCTGTTGATGTATCCTTGGCCAACTCAGCATTATGATTGCTATTTCTGGTAGAAGGCTCTGCCCATGTACTACCATTCCCTGGTAGAACTGACTGAAAAAAGGCTGAATGTATAAAATGAACACAAAGGTAATATTTATTATTAAATGAATACTGGTAAAACACACAATGGAGGAAGTTACGCTGTGGACCAAATCAACATCTGACATGAGTACAACGAGATAAAAATGGCTGCCTTTTTTTTTTTCGAGTATAGGAATTATAAAATGATTATGTTCAAGGGTATGTCCACAAAAAATATGTCTTGTTTTTACATTTTAATAAATTAAAAATAGCCAAAGAAACCGTTGTTGTTGCATTTTATCATTTTATATTATCTGTAAGATTTGACAACTTTTGTCTCTTTGACCTGTGATGTTTGGGGAAGTTAGAACAAATGGCGAGCGCTTTAAGGACCAGTCTTGAAGCCGTTGTAACATAAAAAGGACAGTCTTTTATTTTCTTCCGTAACACAAAAGAGCTTTCTTCAGCAACACAACATGAATTTTGCTTATGTTTCAGCATGTAGACAATATCATCAACTCAAGATTGTCACATATCCTCCATGTGACTCTTCCACACATCCCTTGTGTGTCAGAGGCTCACTAAGCCTCCTTGGCTGATTCCCAGGTGCCTCCAGCACACACACAGCCTCCTGGCTCTGCTCAGGCATCTGGGTGGAGTCCTCCTGACTAGTGATGGGCTCGGGCGTGTTCGCAGCTCCATGTGCCGAGCCCGCCAGGAAGCTGACAGCGCCAATCACAGGCACGGAGACATTTCCCGATCCATGCAGCTGCGGACCGGGATAATGTCTCAGTATCTGTGATTTGCGCTGCGGCGCTGTCAGCTTCCTGGCGGGCTCGGCACGTGGAGCTGCGAACACGCCCGAGCCCATCACTACTCCTGACCCCTGAACAGCTCTGTTCCTCTTCCAAGCTGGAGCCCTGAACATCAGCCAGCACCCTTTCCATAAGGGCGGTGCACAGGTGTGCAATCATTAGGTGCTGGCCACTACTAAACCATGGACCCAGGACTGGAGATCTCATCTCTCCCAATTCTCCCAGTTCCAGGATACCATGCCACATCCAGAAAACCTGGATAGAACTGCAAAGTCAGCTCTTTCCCAGTACAAGAACTTGCTTCCTGGAACAGCTCAGCACCTCAGGCTGAGAGTCTTGGGTGACTAAAACCCTCAGTTCTACTGTGGGATTACCACACAATACCACAGACCTTTAAAGTGTTTAAACTCAATGTTCCTGACAAAGACATTCCTTCAGTTACATACTTTTCTAGGATTTAATTTCACACTCCAGCCCGATGATGGGGAAGGTTCTATAGCAGCCGAAAGATCTGCTGTTTCTCTTTGAGAAATTATAGTGCCTAGTGCGACAATCATCAGAACAGAAAACTGTTCCTGCTGGCTATTTAAATAACTAAAGAATATAATTTTGCATTTTTGTGTGCATTGTTCCCATGAGATAGTAAAAGCGATTGCTTCGGTGGAAATGAGCCACTGCAGCACCTAGCTGAGCCAGACAATTAAGGGTAAGTGAAGTGATCTCCCCTCCCTAGCTGCACATACAGTACTCACTCATATTTATGGACTCTTCCAGTGGCGAGTGCCGTGCCAGGGATCCCAGCCTGAAAAAAGTAATTTCATGGAGGTGCCCTTCTCATTTCAGTGGGGTGCCCTCTGCCCCCACCCCACTGAAAAGATGGCAGATGGCAGATAGCAAGGGAAGTATTGGCTTCTTTGCTATCTGCTGGGTTTTGTTTTTTGCATTATGACACCGGCTGCCATCAGAATAACCCCGCCACCCAAAAAAAACAGCATAGGAATGAATAGCTAGATTGCTATTGGCTATTTCAAGTTGCAATAGCAAGCTGGCTATTGCACCCGCCC